GAAAAAAAAAAAAGGGGGGGGGGCTCAGCTAATGGTAACAATGCTCACAAGCACAGAAACATCTCAGCGGTTGTTAATAAAGCTATCACCTTATCTGTGCAACTTCCTTTTTTTTCTCTTATTGTCTAAGCATATTGCCTTCTTTGACAAATGAAAGCCCACAACTACAATGAAAACAACCATTTCTCAAACACTGTTCAACAGAGGGCAGATCAAGAACATGATTTAAATTTTGGGAGAGAAAGCAAATAGGCAGCATGTCTGCTAGGATGGCAATCAGTCATGGCTGGATAGAAATAAGCTACTGCATTGCCATCTAGTGAACAAATATGGGAATTACACTGGCTGGAGTAGACAATGTAGTGTGGCGTTTGCAGCATATTCTAATACTGCAACCCAGTACTTACATGATTACACACGCTTGTACGATTAAGAAGCAAACAAATAAGAAAAACGAAATCCGAGCAGGCTCAGGGTGACCTTATAATACACCAGCATCCAATAGAGAACTTAGACCGGCTAGACCAATGCTATACATTTACGGTGACCTATTAAATAACAGGAAGCTGATGAGGTAAGCATGATTCGGTTTATTTAAACTGTAAGTCTAGTCACATCAATAAGAAAAGGATGTAATGACCTTTGAGGAGCTCAGTTGAAATTGTACTCTATGTAAATGGGGGTAAACATGTAAGAAAAAAAAATCTGTATGCTGTCTAAAGACATCATTTATCATTTCTGGGCAGTGAGTTCTTTCCAGCTCTCTCCGCTATAAAAGCCTTTGTCCGTGGGGTATAGGCTCAGAGTCCTGGGCCTCCAGCAAATATGAGCTCCAGGGCAGCCTGGATGTCACCATCTGTGGCCTGCAGCGCCCTCAGCATCAGCTCCTCATCCTGGATCCCCATGTCCCTGAGCTGCTGCATCTGGGACTGCCAGCGGCCCTGCCAAAACAAAAACACATTCGCTGAATAACTCTTTTGACCAAAGACCAACCAACGTCACCACAGTGTAAAGGACCAATCATTTTTAGCTCTGCATAAACAACTTTACAGCTGCAGTATAGGGTGTAACACTATACCACACAAACACAAATCATCTACCAGTAAGGATAGACAGTTACTATTTAGATACTGTTCTATCACAGTACATTTCCTCATGTGGACTGAGTATGTGGGATTTAGTCGGTGAGTTTATAGCCTCACCTGTAGAGCGGACATGTTGGAGGCTTGCAGAGCTTGCTGTAGAGCCTGGCTGAAGAGATCGTTGCTGACTGGGGTCCCTGCTGACATTGGGGCTACACTACTGGAGGGGTCGGCCTAAAGCAAAGACAGAATGAAAGAAAAGAAAAAATAAACGATATAAATATATTAAAGCATTCGTCTGCAGTATTGTAGCCAGGTGTCGTGGCAGAGATGATGTTTTTAATACATATAAATGTGTAAAAAATGATTATCTTTTTCCAGATGTAAACAAATCTCACCTGGCTTGAAGTTGTTGGGGTGACCGCACTGCTGTCAGGAGTGCTGGCGAGGGCCAAAGCCGTTGCGAGCTCGCTCTGTGTTATTGGTCGGGGGCCCGTTGCGCCGCTGTGGCTCAGGGACACTGGACGCATTCCTGCTGAGCCTCCTGCTCTGTTGGAGGGACCGGCTGGACTCCCCTGTGACACACATTTAGACACACATTTAGACATTAAGCCCCCCCCCCAGAAGCATCATCGATTTTCCTTTTTACGCGATAATATCTGATGTTGAGTATCAAGCAGTGACTCACGGACTGGAAGTCTTCGTCGTCGTCAGACATGCCCTCAAACATAAAGCCTCCTGCCAGATAAAAAGAAATATTTGTGCATTTGTAGTGAGAACACAACTACATCTGATTACTAAAAATCTAATCAAAAACAAGATTAGAAAGGAAAGACGAAAACAAGATGTAAACAATAATGTCTGTGAAACAATTTACAGTATATAAAAGATTGTCTTTGAAAACTACTTTTATGTTACGACTCAGTTCAGTGGTTTTAATATCTTGAGCTTGGCATCTGCAATTCTTTCTAACTGTTAGCGATCCGCTCTTGCTGGCCGTACATTCCGCCTGGTTTACTGCGCCATCTTTCCTGCTCACCTGGCATATCGCTGTAAGAACTGGCGGAGACGTTGCGAGAAGAGCTGGCACTGGACTGCGCGGGCATGCTGCCTGCCACAGAGTGCAGGACCAGGATGATGGCATTGACGAGGGCTGGGTGTGAACTGATCAACCTATGAAACACACCAAAAAAGCACATTTAAATCCCCTTCCACTTGTGTGTCTGTACTGTACTCACTTCACATCATATCACAGCCAATAACGAAGAAACCCCACACTCACACATCCAGCATGTTAGGGTCTGTGAACTGCACGAAGAGATCTTTGTCTTGGAGCACCCCTGAACAGGTAAACAGGGTGTTAGTAGACATCAGTTACTATTTGCAGATGTGCATGGTGCAAAGAGATGGCATAGCAGTATTTATTCAACTCAGCAGGTCTTACCTAGAGCAACTGGGTCTGACCTGAGCCCTGGTGTTGCCACTATGATCTGATCCAGAGACTCTTTATTTGTCAGCATTTTATATACCTGTGTGGGGGAAAGACAGTCAGTCCTGTTGTTATAGGCGTTATCTACAGATCCTTTGGATGGAGATATAGCAGCTTGTGAGACAGAAATGAGCAGCAACCAATGGGACCACTTGACAAAAACATGTTAAATCAAATTACAGCTCCCAAACAATGTTTTAACCATCAGCTACGTAACAAATCTCTGGTGTTCCCCATGTAACCCACAAAATAAAATAATTCCAAGACAGATCAGAATACACTATAGATGCTGTAGTCTATTGACGATGTGTTCTGATTTAAAAGGTTTGTCAACTGTATGCCCATCCACATCTGTGCCAATATTGGTAGATACATATCAATACAAGTGAGTAGCTCACAGTTTATGCACATTCCTATCCGCACTATCCTTTTATCACTCAAGCCAACATGCTTGTGTTCTAATAGCGACTGTGCCTGTATACCATGGAGAAGTGCCAGCCTAAAATATCTAAACCTGTTCCTGTTGAGGATAATCTTTAATTTGTAGTTGGCCAGGATCCGGTTCACACATCACTCAGGTGAAGGATGTGTGTGTGTGTGAAAGTTAATATAGTAAAAACTCCCTAATGCACTCCTGCTTTCCAAAACCTACTTACATTTTACTGTGTGAGGCATTAGAGAGCTACCACACCTCTTTGGATGCAATTTACCACCTCTGTCAAATAACTCCATGTCCCCCGCCTACCCTCTTCTCTAGTTGAATGGCCAAGCGCAAAAAACTGTTTTCCTACAGATATAATAATCGAATTAGAAGAGGAGTGGCGTGTCACCATGAGCAGCGCTGTGTTTGCCGCTGTATGTGTGCGTGACTGCTACTCACTGAGTCTCTGTAGGCTGAGTTGAGAGAGTGAAGAGCAGCATGAAAAACCCTGAACTCCCTGGCTGCAGTTGCTCTGTTCACAGGCTCTAGGGAAGAAAAAGAACCGCACACGTTCAGATTCAGACTTTCAGTTTCGCTTACAGTACAGCTTAGGCAAGGATTTCAATGCTGACATGACAAACACACAGACCTGGGCTGCTCTCTGGCTCTGGCCATGTCTTTTTGAGGATGTGTAAGGTGGATCCCGGTTGAATCCCACAGGCGTCCAGTGTTAGGTCATCCTTAAGTTTCCGCCCACAGTGGACCAGCTCTGATAGGAGACGGAACACATCGCTTTGATACGGATCAGACAGCATACACAATGTGTCTGTCAGTAGCACACACAAACACAGAATCTTATTCACATCATTTATTGTGTTCAAACACCACAGCGGTTACAGACCTATGAGTTCAGGGTCTGGGACGGAGTCTGAGAGCTGTGCTGCAACAAGTTGTTTTAGAGTAGCGACTCTGTATCCTCCAGGTGAAACATCCCCCGGCATCATCTCTGGGAAGTGGAAGATGGATTTGGGTTGATCCATCAGCTTCAAAGACAGCTGCCAGTCTGAAGAAGCCATCTCTACCTTATAAACAAACACAAACACTGGACGGTAACGACACAAGCTAGATTCGATCAGTAGTCGCTGCTGTGAGCCTGGGGTTCTTACCTAAAGGGAAATGATATCATGAGCTCACTACCGCTCTGCTTTCATTCAAAGATAACGTTAAGTCAGAGAAAATAAGGACTCTTTTTTTCAGTACCACTTCCTCACTTGCACAGATTAAAGGTTAGACGAATAACACAGTTGTTTTCAGAGGAGGGAGTCGTGACGAAGCTCATTATTATCTTCATAGGAATCTTTTTGCAGGTATTGACGTGGAAAAGTTAACGTTACGTTAGCAAACCTGCTAAACCCCGGTTAGCTGCTTATCGTATTAAAAAGCATAGCGATTCACTCCGTAACTGTGAGCTATTCCTATAATACAACTGCTTCTGCACAATTACTTGTTAAGGTCAAAACAAATATCATTTAGAAGCGCCAGCACAGTTGTTTTCTCTGTGATAAATACCGCACACTCACCATCTTATTGTTGACACTCGGCTCGCTTCCTGGTTTCAGTCACGTGGTCTACGTGACGTTTACTTCCACCGGTCCAAACAAAGGAGTTTTTACTTCTCTGCGTTTCACTGTATTATTATTATTAACACACATTTCTCAAGACACAATCTAAAGCACTGCAGCCCGCCAAAACATTACATGATAGATGTCTAAAGCACTACACTGTGCCCATAGACCTCTTTTAAGAGTCAAATATCTATGTGCTGCACACCAAAGGTTCCCAATTGATTTTCCTTCTGCATATTTTCCAGAGCTGTGTCATGTCTTGGGGAAATGTGATTCCAGGCAACAGTTTCACGGTCTGCGTGTCTCATTTTAGGCCACATCGATCTCCAGTCTAACTAAAAGTATAATTATGAGGCGAATCTGGTGTATGAAGTATAAACTATACAGCTAAAAAGCATAAATATGCCAATATCAGATAATACCACAATTTAAAAAAGTAATGTAATATTCAACAATCTGTCCAAGATTGAATTTATCAAACAACTGCATTAATTAACACAAATATCCTTACATACATATACATAGTGGGCACATACTATATGTAGGTACATCTGTTTCACACGTACTGCTTATGCTGCAGTGATACGTTCAATGTCCGTAAGACAACTCAAAACTACTTATGCGGTAGGCTATAACAATGAAAAAGTAATTTCGGGTGGGCAGTATGGGGCAGTATGAATGAAAACATACATTTATTATACAGTCTATGGCAATAAAACGAGGTAGATATCGGTGTGTTCACAAATGGTTAACCCGGGGGTCGGGACTCTCGAGACTCTTTCCCCCCTCGGTATGACATCACTGCTGGACAAAGCAGCAAGGAGTGGTTTCTGTGAAGAGAAGCGCCCCAAATCAATGGCTCATACCCATACACTCTGAAAAATCCCCCCTACAGCTTTCTCCACCGTCAAAAACAAAGTGTGTGTGCGTCGGCAGCGGTTCTACTTGTGCTTTTTTCAAGAGGAATGAACTACTCTGGAAAATAACCTCGGCTGTGCTGCTGGTCAGAGAAGAGAGTCGCCGCCGCTGGATGGTGGCTGCTTTTTAAGTTTCGCCTTCCTAACATGGTAAGCCCTAAGAAACCGTGTGTAAGAGCAGAGCCAACAGACCGCTTATCCCCTGTAAGCTAATGGAGAAAGATAACTGTTCCAACTTTTCATTTTGTAAAGACGAGCAACAGCTGGCGGGGAGCAGCAGAACCCCATGAACCCGGGGCAGGGGGACTGGTTCACACAGTTGGCTCTGTTCACTGGCATGCCTGCTCTTTTTTTTCTTCTTTTTTTAAATAATTTTAAAGCAAGACAGATGCGTGCTAAGCTAATAGCCTCCAGTATACAGTTTCACAGATTGAGCTAATGAATGAAAAGGACTGCGCCCCCATTTGACAAAAAGGCAACACTTCATCTCTGCATTGACTCAGTGGAACCGCAACTTCCATAACTCAAAATGGGGACTTAAAAGTAACAGTTATGTGTTTATATTTACTGGGGAGGGTGTACTTATCCCCAGCCTGTCATTGAGATCCTTTGTCAGTCGGTTGTTTTTAAAATAAATCCTACTAAATCAACTATTTAAGGGTGCATAGTAGCCTGCATACTATTTCTGTATGTATATGTATGTATGGACATAACTTCAGACTTGTTTTTAATATTCTTCTTCTTCTTTTCTGTCTCTCTGTCTTACTAGTGGATGGGATGAACTGTGTCAGGGTGTGTTAGGTCATTGTGGTTCCCAACAAGGGCTCACAGAATAAACCTGAGGGGTCAATACAGGATAAACAAGATAGAAAAATGGGAGAGAGAGAGAACAAAATTCCCTCTGCGCTGAACTATAATTATTTATTCAGACTTTCTTCTAATCTTTGCTTCTTTTTTTTCCCAATGAAGGGTTTTCCTCCAAAAGTTATTCAGATACACCAAAGGAAAAAAAGAATCACTCTTTGGTTGAAGCGGTCACAGCGAGAGGACACATAGAGGAATGGGAGGGTGCATGTAATCATTCCTTAGTTTTTAAGGGGTCACAAGCTAAAATCCGTTGGGAACCACTATGACAGGAGATGCCGTACTCCGGGCTGCAGTGAGGATGTGGCCTGGCTCATGCTGCCCTTATCACATGATAGTGCAGCTGTGCTCTGCTGGCAGGTACAGTTTCCGGTGGGATGTAGGAGGATGTAGTATTTCCCAATCTGACAACTTGTGCAGGAGCCAATTTCTGATGTAGTGGCAAGATAATGATGTTATTTGACATTGTGCAAGATGCTCTACCACATTATTATTTTTTTGGGCCAGAGATGTGATTGCAGTTTGTGACGGTAGGCAGTTCATGCTGTTATTTCATCTCCACATTAATGCACATATGTCAGGCTGCTGTAAGATAAAGGTTACACTAAATTGGCTCCTGTGGCTTTACAAAAGCAGGATCTTGGAGTGCCTGTCACATTGCCTACTGATCCTATGCACTTTTTCACACACATATGCCCTCCAGTTGTCACTGCCTCACTTGCTAATTATCAGTCAGATAAAAATATACAGTCTAGTTCTCTCGGCTATTATTGGATGGCTGTATGGGACTGATTCATGGCATAGTGTGAAATTAGTAATTATAAAGAAAGTTGGAATATAAAACTTTCATACAACATTTGAGCCAGAAAGCTTTCTTGAAGTTTATGGGGCTCTCCTTTCTTCAGCTTGACGAGCTAATGTGTAATATGACTGAGTAACGCGTTAATTGACTTGACTACTATGGGGAACATTTCCCTGCATTAGGTAAATCCAGTCATCCTTTAAGACGGGCTTGCTAAACTCTCACCGCTGCTGCCATATGGATTTGAAAGGCGTCGATGGGACCGGCGTCTTCCAGGCTGGAAATGTCCCTATCATCGAGGGTTGAATGGTTCTCAATGGTTTGCGGTGCTTGGCAGTGGTGCCAGCCATATGCCAATGCACGTTTTAGCCCAGAAGGTCAGTCAGATTCATAATAGTGTTAAAGAATGGCTTTGTCATCCGGGAGAGGAGTCAAGAGCAGTAGTGTCAGGAAAAAGATAAACGGTTAGAAAACCACTCTCACAGTTCTCTCGAAAGAATACTGCAATGATACAGTGACCATGGAGGAATTGTAAATCTTAATGTTCTGTGATACTTTAGGAGTCATTTCTCTTTTCTTTGACCTCAGTAAGAAGCTTAATAATCCTTAGCGCTGTGACAGAATGAAATACACTGGTGATTATGGCTCAAAAGCTGCCGACCAATCACTAAAAGAAATTTAATACATTCAGACTGTCAAACAGCCCTTCAGTGACTGTTTCTTTTCCTTTTTAACGGTCTTCATTTTAGAGAGCGCCATTTTCAGTTAATTCCAGCAGCAGCATTGAAATCTGAATAAAGAGCTAGCAATCATTTTGATACATCGGTCTAACATATTGATGGATAATAGAGCTTTTTTTTTAAAATACAACCATCTAACAGTAAAAGTTAATTGTGTCGTTAAATTCTTTAGGCGGCGGCTTGCAGGTGTGCGCAGCTTGTTTTGATCTCTGACATTGAACCGAACCGTTACAGTTGAATTGTACAAAGAAAGGAAGAAAAAGGCATTTACGTGCTGGCATGGGGTCAGTTTAGTACTTGAGTCATTCAGTAAAAAAAGAAAACCCTTTGATGGCTTCCTGGTGTCTGCACAACACAGACAGAGTCAGACTGCGGTTGGGTGTGTTGGCACATTTCTGTTCATGTTGTCTTCGGGGGAAACTAACAGATATATTTACAGAGATCCTACCCTTTTGGAGAGGACGGCTGGGATGTGTCTGGCCCTTTCTTCATTGAATATTTATTCCCGTTTTTTGAACGTCTGTACAGTGAATAACACATATTCCCTGCCTCTGAGGGGAAATATCTCGGGAGGTTCAGTGTTCCAGGAGTCTCTTTTGAGTTGGTCCGCGCGAGCAAGTGGTGGGTGTGCTGTTATGGAAACTTTGTGATGAAGCTGCAGTCCTTCCCACATCCTCTCTGCTGAAGCCATAAATGGAGCCTCATGGAAAAGATTTTGGTTAAGCCGTGAGGTGGAGCTACAGCTGACATCAGTACTGAAATGATTCATACCAAAACATCCTGACTGATTTGATACCTGCCGTCCAGTTTAAATGCACTTTTATATGTCCAAAACATCTAAAATCAAACTTCGCTGGCCTTCTAATGGTAGATTTATGTAGACATTTAGCCGCTCAAACATAAGGTTTCACTTATGCTGATCGGTGGGAGACGGTAGAGCATCGAGCCACACCTTGATGTTGTTTATCGGAGTTGTGAAGCTGCCACAGTAGTTAGCTGTAAACGCTGGGTACCCCTCATGTGGCAAGATGACGTAAATAAAGTTGGAAATACTTCCCTCTAATTAGAAACTACAGGTGGATTAAATGTTAAAAAGACAGTGTGGATATGGAAAACCTTTAGAAGTTAACTTTGTCATTGGTATTTTCTATCAGTCCACAGTCATACATGCAGTTGTCTAACAGAAACCAAACAAAATGCATGTGACAGCATATGTATTGTGTGATCACAAAGCTTAAAAAGGGTGAAACTGCAATGTTACACTGCCAAACTAAACCAATTAACCAGACATGCCATAACTCATTCAGCCAAACTCTTAAGACGGGGGTGGGGGTAAGACACAATTTTGTCGATAAAGAAACTAAAAGACAGGGAGAAAATGGGATTTGACTGCTTTCAATGCCTCGCTGTCAATGCAGAGCCTTTTAAAGTGCTCTGAGAATATTAGTGTGGACAGAAAACATGTTCACTCATAAGCACCATCTTAAAATATGCACCATATTGCGCACATGGTCAAAATAGAAGTCTCTGGATAAAACCCCAAGCCTTAAAGACACAGTGTGTTATGCTTTCCTTACCTTTCCTTTGGTGACTCCCACTGGTCACATCTAAAAAAAGACACAGAGGAAAGCACCCCTATAGACACACTAGACAATGAACAAATGGGCTGAAAGCAACACATAGTCTGTACCACTTTTCCCCAGGATTGTCTAATTTTTCTACAGACAGAAACTCATGCCACCAGAATAATTGAATTCTCTCATTGTACAGACAGCTATTCATAGGAAAGCAGTAGAGAGTGCTGGCAGACTGGGCCCATGTGGATAACTCACCATGAAGCGATATCAGAATCGGGGTTTATTGCTAAGTAGGTTTTCACATACAAGGAATTTGTTTCGGTATATTTGTGCATAACAATAAAACTAGTGCGGGAAAAATATAAATAAAGATGAAAGCAAGTACTGCAAGTCAAAAAGCATGAATAGAAAATAGAATAGGATTAATAGAATAGAATAGAATTTTATTTCACCCTGTAAATAATCAAGTGCCTTTATTCTTATTCTGATTGTTGATTGTTTATTTTATGTCTTGTTGATTGTTTATTTTATATCTTTTCTATTTTTCAATTTTTTTTTTTATTAGCATGTTTGCACCGGGGGTCCGACGAGGACTGAAGATTTCATCTTGTGCTGTATGGTCGTGCAGTGTATTGCACGTTCTGACATAAAGTTGACTTGACTTGACTAGAAAATAGAAAATTGACACTAACATGAAGGAAATATTATAAAAACAAGAAAAGACAATATGTACAATATGACTGTTGTTTAAATAAATGAGCTTTACAGTTTGTGCACAAATGTCCCAAATGTTGTCCAAGTGATGTAATGAGGAAGCTTATGTGCCCTTTCCCATACGTGCTAAGAAATGATACCATGTTAAATCAGTTATTGATAGGAAAAGAAATGATGTGTGACTGCCGCTAAATTGTTGCTCCCATCCTTTTCTGCTCGGGGATATGTCTCTTTCAGAAACCTCTGTTTGAAGCTCATTAAATGAACAACAACCATCTCGCAGCAACCCCATACAGAGCTCACACAGATTAACGTAGCAAGACAAATCAACACAATACATCAAAATACTGACATTCACAAACAGCAGCAAGAATATTGCACTTTCCAACACAAAAAAGATATCTGGAGAAGATATTCTATTACTTAAATTACTTTCTACTTTACTTTTATTTTTCAGTGGGGTCACTATTCTTACATTAAGTGGAAATACCCTGTTTGCTCAATATTTAAAATGCTGAGTATGTCTGTTCTATTAACAAACTCTCCCCCTCTCACTATTTCTTTGTTTCTGTCTTACTCTTTTTTCTCCACACATGTACACAATGCATAGTGTTTATCCAGCTGTGCACAATATGTATTTGTCTTATTGTTTTTTTTTTAGGGATGCACAAATTCTGAAATTCTTGACCGATACATGTGTATAGATGTTATTTTGTTCTTTGTTTTGTTTGTATTTGTGTACAAGTTGTGGGAATATCCAAATTGGAAATAACCAACACAACATTTAGCCAGCACAAAATTGATGCGACACAACAGATAAACACTGGCCACTGATATTGTGTGTTTTTTTGCTGATAGGCCAGTGTCAGTCAACAAATATCATCTGATAATGATGTTCAGCTGGTAAATCGGTGCATCTTTCATTCATCCCAGTAGACCTGCAACTAGCAAACATAGACACTGAAACCGACACAGGGAATTTGCTTTTGTACTGTTGTCTTATCCCACTTATTTTTAATAGGTGACTTGTAGAACAATGACTTCATAGCAATGGAAAAAAAAAGTATTTTTGTCTCAACAAAGACACATACAAATAGTGACCTCTACCAATCTCTCTGAGATATATATCTATAATAAATATTTCATGCATGGTAGAGTGGCAGTAGACGGGGAGGGGATCGTTTTGTCTGTCTCTACTCACTCCCGAAGTAGTGTTTTCCCCTCTAAAAGAAAAGAGAATGACTTGGCTGTTTCCTGTCAACTTTGGAAATCCCCATTTGTCATCACAGCTCCACTCCGTCTGAAAGAGAAAAGTTGTGAGCGGGCCAAGAGAAAAACCTGAAATAGTCACCTTCAGACTTACTTTCAGATAAGTTTATAAGTTGCCAACAAATGATTCTAGACATTCAAATAGCCGTTACTCCTGGGAATATGTTGGATTGTCTCATTATCTCCAAATCCATCCACATGAGAGCTCAAGCTAAAACAAATCATTAGAAAACACCCTATTCTGTTTCTATCACTTCTTAATCACCCTTCTATCCACACATCTTCTTATTTTGCTGTTTTTGTGTTCTGTGTTATTAGTCTTCCTCCTCCTCCTCCTCACTTGTCTTGTTTTTTTTTCCCCTGCAGCGCTGTGTCTGAAGAAGTTGACCTGCGGTTTGAATCCACTCTGGAAGACCATGCTGTCCCTCCTGCTCCCCGCAATGCTGGCCGTCCAAGCTATGGGTGGGTGTCGCCCCTGCCCTTAGATCTGAGTCACCGCAGTGGGAAATGCCACTTTCTGTTAAACAATACGCCCTGCAGGGCCTATTAGTCTTCCCTCTTCAGAGGCTTCACTGGACAAAACAACAGTTCAGATGAGGCTACTCCCAAAAAGTAATGTGCCAATAGCTGGAAAGTTATAAACCCTCCCTGTTTAAACTCTCATCCGTCCAGACGAGATGACAATGAACATATTATTAATTATACAGATGTCCTGCCTCAGGGAGTAAAAGGACATTCTACAAATATTTACAGTACTTCTTTTAAGTGATATGGGAATGTGTTTTTGTTTTATATTTCTCTTATTATTCAGCTTGTAAAACAAAATAGCTTTGACTTTTTCCAGACAGGTGAAGAGTGCAGCTTGGGGCAAGGGTGAGGCCCCCGATGAAAAGTGCTAGAAGTGCACTTTGTCTGCTCTGACTCAGGGAGTGTGGTGTGGAAGTCATCCTCTTAAATTTATTACACGGGGAAGAAGAAGGGTTGTGCTTGATGTTGCAGCTGAGGATTCATAACTCACGCACTCAAAAGTTTTACTTCAGTAGAAATGGTGCTCCAAGAAAAACTTGTGTCATCATAAAAAAAGAGACAGATAGCCTGCGCAGGCTTGATAATGTCTCAAGACACGGTAAATAAAAGAAGGGAATTGAGCATGTCAGAAGGGGGGTTGACAGTGCATATATTTGAACACCTTTTTCCCAGTCGGTGTGTGGCTGACACATAATGTGAATTAAAATCTCATTCTCATAGTGGATGATATTCCTTTTATTATTACTGCATAGTCTGAAGAAGAAGAAGGAGGAGGAGGAAGGCAGCTCTGAAAGGTTTCTTCTGCCTGGCAAACATAAAGGCTCAGCATACTTTGGTGAACCCACAAAGTTCACAAAGAACTTTTATCATCCAAAACACCGTCATTTTCAACCAAGAGCTATTTTTTGCCTTTTCTGCTCTCTGGTTGAGCTGACACAACCTCCTATCGGCCATCAGTGGCACATTTCAATCTTGACTCAGTGGACCTAAGTGTCTTCAGTGGTTCATTAGGGACCTATTCTTTCCCAGCACAAATGGGCCTGCGGCCTGCTCATTACTGCCTGTGTGGCAGCCACTGCCTAACTTGCTCCTCTCACCGGGAGGGACGAGGAGGAGGAGGTGTCGGGGACTGATGGAGCTCTTTAACTCACGGGTAATGGGCTATTGTAGCTCACACAATGATTCCGTTTCTCTCTGCTAACTGGAGCACTAAGTGAATTAGTTGGAGTCTAGTTTGATGCTATAGTGTGCTAATGTAACACTATATGATGACACAAAAACACTGCATGCTAGAACACAGACAAATCTAACTTTATTTTTCATCCTGTGTTAATTAGGATATTGTGTAGTTAGTGCAGTGGCATGTACTTGATGACATTGCGGGTCCTTTATATATTTACCAGTAGGGCAACAGTAATTATATAGGTGACTAATTAAAGGTCAATTTGGTTGCCTTTGATTTATAAAGAGCCACTTTTGCATCTCTTGGCCACACAAACAGAAACCCTACAGACTTGTGTAATTATATATTTTGTATTCGTGTGCATGTCTGTGTTCATATGATTCAGGGTCACCTAGGTCTCCAGGTCCCTCACTGGGATTGCTGGCTGTATTTTTCCTTGTATTCAGCCGTGTCATTGCTGGATAACTCCAGCAAGTCCCCATATCAGTAGACACGATTACACTTTGTGGTCTCTGTCGACACACTTCCTATCACGAGAACAGTATTTGTGCAAGAAAAACACAAGGACAAGCACATGACAGCACTGTCATCCCAACGCAGTAACATTGTCTCTGTGGCTCCCAGCTGTATCCTGACTCAGTAGTCAGATGATGGATCATCCTTAGTGAAACCTCTCCCTGATGTTACTCCTACAGAACTGCACAGCTGTTGTGTCACTGCAGCCATGAGGAGGCTTGTCTGTTAGGGGTTGTTGTTTTTTGTGCTTAAACGCACTATTGAGGAAGCATAAGTGAGGAAAATGTGCTACACCCACCTATTCTGGCTTTCACCCTTGACCCTACTGGTTGCTTATAATAAGTTAGGTTTATTTTTATCACGCTCATTATTACCCATAATGGTTTTAAATGTCAGCAAAATGCCTGAAATGTCAATGTATGTGTACAGTAATGACTGAGCCACAACAGTAGCCGAGTACAGTAACATCCTTGGCTCACTACAGCACAGCATACAGCAGTGTCAGCCAGTGGCAGAGCTAACAGGAGGCTGTCTAGCTAATTGCTTGTTGTTGTCATACTCTCTGTTCAGTTAGCACAGCCACTAGGCTGCCAGAGCGCGCCGTGTGCGGCTCTTAGCACCCAAACAGTGAAAGAGAATTGTATTCATGCAAATGCAGAAATGGAAAGCTGACCCGATTTCACTTTCAATGATGGGAGCTGTAAGGTAATTCAAATTAATTAGCATAATTGGATAGATGGCATCTATCGTAGTAGTCGGCAGGCGCACATTATGGCAGGGCTCCAGAGCGTGAAAATAGCCCGCTCATGCCTGCATCTCTGGTGTACTTTTTAAAGGTCTGCTAACTATGAATGCCCTCTTCCTGTCCTCCTTTTCTCTTCACAGCAATTGATTCTGCAGAGAGGGGACACTTTAGCCTGTGCAGAAATTCAATTTAGGGTTATTACCCCATATCAGTGATGTTCTTGCTAATTTGATTGCGTCCAGTGAAGTATCCTTTTAAAAACAACCGAGGACAGGCTCAACAAAGATTGGTTTCGCCGCAATGCATACATAATGACCAGTCTCTGTTGGCTTGCCTCTGTCTCACCGGCTCCCAGCTCTTCTTTTCTCACAGTGCGCTCATTGAAACAGAGTGCATTACCCAACAAGCACCTCATGATTATTTCAACAAGTCTTAAAAATGCTGCCTTGTGGGATCGTTAAAAAATTGATATGGTTAATATGCCGAGATTGCAGTTCTGGAGGGGAAGAGGGGCCTGGAGCCATATGTGGGTCTGCTGTGCGCCTAGTGGGCTGTGATGAATGGGTTGAACGGATGCTGATCTGTGCTTGGAAAGCATCACGCAGCTACAGACTTGCTGAGGAAGCAAACCAGCGGATGACACAGGGAGACACCTACCTCCGGGGTGTTGCCTCTGTGAAGTGGCGGTGGTGATGTCAGGCACGGGAGGCTCCAGACAACGCGCAGCTGGCGACAAAGTGGCCCTTGCTTAACCTCACATCACTGCTGGTGCATGAAACCATGAATCAGCAAAGGATATGGACTTGTAAGAGCCAAAACATTCATTTCATGAGACAGCAGATGTAAAACACCTGCCTCATCCGAAGGATTAAAAAAAACACTTTGCCTCTTTGTCTTTCTCGTCAAGTCTTCCCGGCTCCTCTGTAATGATGGCCATAGTATGTACACCTCAGTGTTATCATGTCATTATTAGACATTAGCTGCACTCAGGTCAGATCTGACCTCATGGCCCTCCTGCTACCTTGGGGTGCTACCTCATCCACCACCCCCACTCCTCCCTTTCCAATCCCCAGCCTCCTGCTCATCAAAAGCTCTCTGTCTGGCTTGTAAGCCAGAAGCTTGCCCTTATCTGCCCGCTGTTCTTCAGCCGGCACTATTATCTGACTGCCGGAGCCCATTAACAGGTTATTGACGGGATATGAGATGGCATACATCTATGAAGGAAGCAAGACAGAGAGAGCCGAGATAGAGAGCAAGAATGAGAGCGGGAAAAAAAAAAGACAAAATAACACAATAGTGAGACTCATCTTGATTTATGACATTGCTGAAAATAAGCAGAGTCCTTGTCTTCCCTATCTGCCATCACCTGTATCTCTCTCTGAGTGAGGGCACTCACACTCCATGATGAGTTCCTGGAGCAAAAATGGGAAAGGAAGCGATTATGCTCAGAGCTTAATGTTGAAAGTGACCCCTTTACACCGCGGATGCCTTTAAGTCTTGTTTAATCTCATCCATATTGTGGCGAGGGGCCATTCGAAAAGCTCAAGACACAGACTCTTTTTCCGATTGCTCATTTTGAACCAAATCATGCTTACTGCTCACATACTCCCATCGCTCCCTTAATGTTTTCCAGATGCATATTTCTTCGAATGGGAGTATTATGGACATCTACATCTGCTCCTGACAGCATGAAATCAAAAGCTAGCTTTCCCCTCAGACTTTTACAGGGATTGGTTATATCATAAGAATAATCGCTATGAAAGGGCTCACAGATCCTTTGAGCGAAACCCTTTGATGTTCAGGTGGTGCAAAATGTCCAGAATGAAAATGTGTTGCGCTGCAGTTACGTTCATCAACAGAGGGGGGCAGTGTTGTAAAAGCATATTTCTCCTGCCTGTCCTCTTGCCCGACTAAACCCCACTGTCCTTGCAGCCTGTTAGTATTGCACCTGTTTACTTTGCTGTGTCGATATTGCCCCCTCCAGTGCTGCTGCCTGATTTTCCTTATTTATGAAATCATTTTAATATTTCCTCCCATGTCGTATGTTTCAGCAGGGTTTTAGACATACCCTTTCAGCGTGTACTTGTTGTGTTTAACAAATAGCTCCACGGATTGTGTAAATAGCTCTGTTTACTGTGTGTTATTGAACTGTCACCATTGTTACTTTTATAAAGAGAGACTGTGTGGTCCCGAGGGTTGTGTGGTTGTGGTTGGTGTTGGTGTTGAACTGAGTCAAGTTGGAGTGAAGTTGTATTGCTTGCTGAACTGACCGCCTTGAACTGGTATTGAATTTGCATGTTAAAATGCCTGTGTGCATGTGTGCTGGACATGGAGCATACGAACCGCATCTGACGGCAGTGAATTGTAAAAAGAATCCATGCAGATAAATGCAGAAATGACCAACTATAACAGTGACGTCTGTTTGTGTGTGTGTGTGTGTGTGTGTGTGTGTGTCAGGGACAGTTCAGGGGCACGGACACTTGTGTACTA